ACCGTATCATGCTAGAATTGCTTCTGCTGATCATGAAGAATTGAATAACACTCATTTGTCACGTAGGGTGTTGACTCAAACACAGATGAGTTCAATTCAGATGACAGAGGTTGTTACAAAACCCAGCTGTTAACTCTGGTCCTCTCTCCACAAGTTGCTTTTTCTGCCACAGGGATGGCTGACCCATGAAGCAATTCTTTAACAGCCACAGTTTGTAGCCTGATTTATTCAAGTAAACCAATGGTGACTTTAAGTTGTGTTGATGCACCGCGTTGGCAACTCTAACAGCTTAGGTGCTGCTTCCTGTGTAAATCAGCAGTGCTAGTATTGTAGTGGCAATCTTTGGAGAAGAGTGAATGCCTGGTAGGATGTTTAAGCTCCCTGTATTGATGGATAAATATTCTCTGCTTCTGATTTACAGCTAATTGAGAAAGAATCTTTGCAGCAGTCTGCCAGTAGTTGCAGGCAACTGCTGGCAAGATTGGCAAGATACCTTTTCTACGGCTCCAAACGACTCATCTCAAACTAAGGCAATTTTCTCCAAGAGCTTTTGTTATTAATCACATCTGGAGAAAAGACAAGAAACATTAAAATGGATACTCTTCTTTGGGGTTTCCATTTCATTGGGACTGGAAGAAGACCAATTCTTAATCATTTACTATTTTTGAAAAAGGTACATGGTGAACACAGGAATAGGAGCCAGGAAATTTACTGGCCAGGGCTGATTCTGTTGAACAAATCAGTTGGGTGTTAACTGGGGAGCTATTCTAACAAGGCTACCAGGTAGGCTGCTTGGGAGGGAAGGAAGAAAGTGGGCTTAGTTTTGGGTGGTGGCATTGTTGGGAAGGCTGCCAATTTTCCTTGGTTTCCCTTCTTTCCCTTTTAGGATAATACCTTGCTGAGCTCACAAGATAACTCTGAGGATTATGGACTTGGTTTGATTCTCACTACAGTCAGGAAAGCTAACGTTGATAGCAGTAGGTGAAAGAGTCAGCCTTATTTTAATAGGTTAGTGTTGAGAATAATCTCAAATTGAGGCTTTTTGTTTATTTGTATTTAGATAAGTACTGCGTAAACTTGAGATTTTTGCCTTTGAAACAGAATTGTTTTCCCAAGAAGTGGTCCAAACAGCAGAACTTAACTCTATTTTTGGTTTTGATTATGCCTTTATAGCCTTTCTTTGGAGTTATTTTATAGGGAGGTACAAACAGAATACAGGTATCTTGTACCTAATAAGCTTGTGGACCAGATGCTTCTCTTGCCTTTTTATCTCCTTTAGCAGGATTGAATTCCTTGCACCACAGCAACTATAAAGTCATTACACTGCACTTAAAACAAATTGCAGAAAGGGATGACCTTTTGCTCGGACTTTTTATTGTTTGTATTGCTAAACCTTATCACTGTCTTTCAGCAAAAGCCAGTTTAATCCTTAAACATTTGTATGTATAGTATCTGGTCAGAATTGTCTATTGTTAGCTATCTCTGTTCTCATTGATGATAATGCTGTGCATCTCCACAATGCCTGCATTTGCCTCTTGGATCTTCATTGTACGGGGTAGCGGTTATCTTGCTTGCTGATAGCATATCACCAATGGTACCAGTTAAGAGCTGAAAATACTTCCAGCATAATGGAAAGTTCCACTTTCGCCAGGATGACTCACTAATTAATTAACCCCTGGGATATTCTGCCTGGGATGGAGAGGCTTCCTGTGCCAGCTTAAGAAAAAGTTCCGGGAAGATACTGTTATATAACAAAAGAGAAATTTATCGGAATAATTTTATCTGCCTTGTAAGAAATATGTTTTCTTATACTATCAATCTGCCGGAAACAAGCTTGGAAAGTGGAAAGTAACTGAAAAATAGATACTTAGGAAAGGGTTGCTTCTCTGACTTAACATCTTCCTTTGCCATAGGAGCAAAAAGACAACTGCTGTTAACACCACGAGAAGAATGGCCTTGTAGTAGGAGTGTGTGGAGGCAAGCAGTACAGGAGGCAGTAAATATCTTTTCCTCCCAGCAGGCCACAAGCTTTTGACTTTAAGTAGGTCACGCTTAAAATGTAGCAACCAAGCAGCCATTTGGCAGGGAAGAAAGAAAATGGGCTTGGTTGTGGGTGGTGGCAGAGTTTGGGAGGGCTGTTGGGACCATGAAGAGGCAAGGGGAGACTGCCCCGCAGAGCGCACTTCATGTGCCTGTCAGGCATTGCTGAGAGTGAGTGAGTGGATGGAGTATGGTTTCGCTGTTCCAACCTGGTGTGGATGGAGTGTGTAACTCATGACTTCAGCAGATTTGTCCTGTGGGCTTCAAGAAACCTTTTGATGCCTTCATAGTGCTGGGGGCGTGATTTACTTTTTAGCAAGGAAACTTTGGCGGATCTGTAAGATTAAACTCGGTGTGTCTGTAGCAGACTTGAACCAAGCAGAGTGGTTCTGTACATGAAGATAGATGTGATGGGTGTAAATTTCTCCAGTGAAGAGCTGTAACAAGGCCTGGGAGCTAGAAGGAAGCTCCAGAATTTGAGGTTTAACTCCCAGTAGTTTCTGAGAGGGAGAGAGAGAAGGAGCTTTTGCTGCAGAAATCCTTCTTCCTTCAGGACAGGGAATCAGTAAAAGATTTGGAGATGCTTCATTTAAACTAGAAGTGTTGTTTGGACTTATGGCTACTGATCTGTTAACATTTGGGTATTTCTGACTTAACAACTGTTTACTGAAATACCAAAATGCAGATATTTTTGATCTCCGGTGGTGCTGCTTCGTTGATTTCCCCTCAGATGCACACATATGCAGGTGTGATTTCTGCTTTTTACTCCAATGAATGGCTGTTCACGCAAAATACAAAAAGTTAGATAGGCTTGTTACCCGAGTCTCTCCTTTTGCCTTTTTAGCTCAGTCTGCCATCTGTCTAGGAGAAAAAATGGGTGTTGAGCTATGTCAGACTTTGTGACCATGCAGAGTAATTTGGGGGGCATGGTGCAGAAGGGAATATTACTTTGTATAAAATATGATCTTAGAGAACAAGACTGTGATTGTATCCATATTTCTTGTCAGGGGAAAAGTGCCACTAAAAGTGAATAGTTGGGGGTCTGTAGCACTGTTAAGGACAAAATTGTATCTGAAAAGTTCCTGTTTGCAGGTGGGAGGCAGGATGATGCTGACCACTAGTGTTTCTCTTTATTCCAACTCATTATGTGTTAACCTTGATTGACTGTAGTGTGGACATTTATTGATTGATGTGTGAAGTCATTCACCATGACCTTTTGTTGGGTTAATTTTATTTTTATCTCCCCCCAACCCCCCCTTTTTTTTTATAGAAGCTATAAAAGCACAGGAGCATAGGGACAATGCAGGCAACTTTGTACTAGAGACTGCAAGCAAAAAGAGAGGGATGGGGAAGACTAATTCCGTTATGAAAATGAGCACACTAAGTAAAATACTGGTTCAAACCATGTGTTTGCTTGGGGAAAGTTGATGGTCTAAATTTGACATAGACTATAGCAAGCAACAAGAGAACTGCCATATGGAGGAATAGCAGCTTTGCATTATTAAGATCATATGGTTAACAGCTTAGTTTATAAATTTCTACTGAGCAGTATCTGCAATTCAGCAACAGAAAAAGGGTGCTTTGTGGGGAGGCTTGAGTGAGATGGTGAGACATTTTTGAGTAGACATTGCATGTGCAAAAGGGATAGGTTGGGAAAAGCTGCCTGTAGTGTGGAGAGAAACATAAATCCAGGTGTAAACAAAACTAGTTTGTTAATTTGAATGTTGAAGTGACTGGTGGAACTGACTAAATCAAATACTTTCAACATTTCACAAAACAAATGACCAGCCTAAGGAAGGTCAAACTATTACTAACCTTTTGTTGGTTTTTAAAAATAAAAAATAAAAAAAAGGGAAATGAATGTAATTGTCATCGGCAGTTCTTTTCACAATGTAGAGTAGATGTCAGCAATGCTTTAACATGTTGTGCTACACTCTGCTTTTCTGCCCCAAATTAAACTTTAAATGTGAAAAGAGAAATCATGCAGAATCCAAGCTCTGTTGTTTCTCAAAGAAGCAAGAGGCTGTCGTGATATTCGTGGTGTGTTGCCTTGACATCAGTAGCTAGAAGCGTCTCCTGCAGACTACAGAGATCACTGGCGTCCTGTAGCGGGGTTGCTCCCTCTCAGGTGACTGTAGCTGCCAAATCTCAGCCCTGTTACACACTATTCAAAATCAGTCTACTTACCACCTTTGCCCTACACCCATTTGATGGTGACCTGCAAAGCTTACAGGAACAATTTAGCTATCCATACAGGAGAAGCTAATAAAAAGTATATACAGCTTCCAAATCTCTACAAGGATCCTTCCTGAATTGAGTGCTGGTTTTTTTGACATCAACTCTGTGATAAGCAGAGAAGTGGCTCTTGTAATGGCAGAAGATAGCAGGCAAATCTGAAGAGGTAAAAGGGGAGAGTAATAATTACACAGTTATTGGAGACTGTATGCCCAAAAATAAAAAAGAGCTGGCTGCTTTTGTTTTATATGAAGTAAGCCTTCTGCACCACTGCAATAAAGCACAGGATGAACAATGAGGAAAATATGGAAGGAAAAGAGAAGGGGGTGGGGGGAATAATCAAGTGTACAGAAAGTAACCAACTAGTATCCCACAATCCTGCTCTTTTAAAGAAGCGTTGTATTTGGTTCTCTGTTGATGGGTCCATAGAGGAGAAATCCCTGAAATTCTATTTCATTTGAAGAAGCTGGGGAAAATGCTGTTGCTGTTGAGTCTCAGTACTTCAAATAAATCATCAGTATTGATACTTTGAATATTTCATGTGGTGACACAAAGATAACATTGTATTAGAGAAGTTCCTGTGTCTTTTCATCAGCTCTGCTGTGTTATTGTATGTAAAATCACAAGCTATTTTTTCATTCAGTTGGAACATATGTGAACAGCTCTTTACCTGTGTGGAAAATAATTACAAATTCTTCTGTCTTTTGAATGCAGTCTGAGTTTGAATGCAGTCTGAGTCCAAGAGGCGTGAAGAAGAGATGCCTTCTCTACACTGGGGACTGGATCCTGTATTTTCTGCATTTGCAAGACTCTATATTAAAGATATAAAAGAAATGAGAGAATCTAAACAAGTGCCAGGTATGCAGAACGCTTTGCGGCCACCAGTAAAGTAACTTTCCACGCCCCGAAGCTAAGTGATGTTAGTATCTTTAACAGTTCTAAGAACAACAGGTTATATGAGAAATCTATGTGAAAAATAAAATGTGTTCATTCTAATGGCTTTTCTTCCTCTTGTGTGTATATATATATATATATAGGTACAGAACCTCTTTTGCATTAAGGTAATGTTGTATTTCCTCTGTGTGGCAATGCATGTTATATTCTGATAAAAATGCTGGTCCTTTCTGGCCTTACGTGTTTTATCTTTCCAGTGTCTCTACAATATTTGAGAAGGATTTTATGCCTCTTCTCTTTGTTGCAAAGTTTTGACAGTTGATGACATTGCTGTTTGCATGTGTTTTGCTTTTTCCTCTGGATATTAGTATATTATAAAACAGGTACAGGTGTTGAGGTTTTGTCTGCTTAATTTCTTCATATGATAGATATATGGCATTCTTCATACATTTGAACAACGTTATTGTGAATTCTGGCATCTGTGCTGAATCTTATACCACACCTTTTATTTCCTAACCATTGTTGGAAATTGTATGCTTTGCAGTCTGTTTCCCGCTGGTCTTCAGCCAATATCACCCACATGTGTACGTTGTCTAAAGCAACATGGGTCTGACCTTGAATTTCGGTTTTCACTACAAAGACTTTAAATAGACTGCAGTGTGTTTTCTGCTGTAGGAGCGTTCATTACTCCAAACTGAAGCTTGACAGGGTGCGAGATTATCAGGGGGGAACCCAAGGAACTTAGAATTAATGAGGAAAAGCAGTAAACCTGATAAAAAAGATAAACCTGATTAAAAAGTGTGTGGTTTTGGTTTGGTGTTAATGTTTTGTTTGGGGTTTTTCTTATTTTTTTTTTTCTCCACAGAGACAAGGTACATCTGTTTGGCTCTTTGAATAAGCTCCGCCTTGTAGGTTTTGTTATTCTTGTTTATCTTTCTTTAACAGCAAGGATAACAGCAGTGCTATTCTTGCAGAAATGAAGGACTACTGGGTTTTTTTTGCGCTTCTCGCAACAATTTTTATGTATGTAGGGACTTCACAAACTGCAAAGCTCAGTATATATACCTCTTTGTTATTTAATATGATGGGAGAGTTTTGTCTTAAATCCATTGCAAGAATCAGGCTACAGTCTGTTGTTGGTGTTTACACTAGAACGAGTAGTACTTAGAGGCCTTTTTAAAGTGTGCAGTCTTATAGTAGTACTGGTGTAGCAAATGCATCTGGTAAAAACTGTTCCTGCTTCAATTAGAGACGTTTTAATTGTTTTCAAACAAAATACAAAACAATTCAGTGTCAGCAGAATAGGATTGTAGTTTGGACTTGGACATTAGTACATAGACACTCATAAATACATTCAGAAAAATTAAACTTATCAACATCAGTAAACATTTCACAAGAGCAGGAACAGTCTTAGAAAGTACAATCCTGCTCTCTTTTCTTCACCTCTAAATTACGTGAATTTCCCTTCTCACCTCCCTTCGTGTTCTTTGAGTTATCTTTTGCTTCAGGAACTCTTTCAGTTTTGTTATTACTTTTTTTTTTTTTTTTTTCTGAGATGATCCTAAGGAAGTGGTATCTGTCATGTCAAGATATCAGCCTTTAAAATTGGTGCATGCGAGCTTTCTCCACTTCCTGTGCATCTGGCGTTTTGCACAACTAAGCTTGCTTGCAATCCTGTATCATTTTCAAAACCAAACTTTAAAGAATAAAATGAAATTTCATAGAACAAACATCCTGAATTTTGTTCATTCTCCTGGTGCTGTGTATATACTAAACCAGACATCTTTCAGCATATCTTATTTATTGGCAACAAAGAATAGCACAACAGAAACACGCAAGAAAGAATAGCACAACAGAAACACACACACAAAAAAAATCTTTTGGGGAAGGAAGAAGGTTGGTGTTTGCTGTCAATGTTTCCTGCCTTTAATGGGTCTGTTAAAGACCAGCTGAAGCTAACTATACGATTGGCTATAAATCAGTCATTGAGTAATGGTAATTAAGAATGAATGAGTGCAAAACAAAGAGTTGTAACTAGGAGGAATGGAAAGAAACACAGACTGAATGTCAGGAAAAACATCCTTAGAATGACATCTGGTAAACTGTGGAGCAGCCTTCCTATGAAAAAGGTCGGATCCCCTTCACTGGGATTGTTTATATCCTGACTGTACAGATTGCCAGGGATTTACTGTACGGAACGGTCTTGCATTGGACCTGAGGAAATGGACTGAATGACCTAATAAGTTTTTTCTTTCCATTTTTAAGCATTAGGATTTGATGCCACAATGACTAATCCCTTAAAACAACACAGAGGAAACCAGTAAACCTGGCCAATTACTCTCCTGCTATAAATGGTGACAAGAAGGCTGGAAAACCTCCCAGATAAAAACAGCAATTGTGTTGTCTAAGAGGCCTCTAAATGAGAGTGGGTGTCAAACTCGGTTGTAACACATAATCACATCATGGAAATGAGCTTTTCTCAGAGTTATCATGCACCACTGCATTGTGACAGCTTATCAACAAGCGAGGGAAGCTACAAATAGCATAAAAGGAGGTAATAATAATTAAAGCAATGGCAAACATCTCGGTGCTCAGAAATGCTGGTAAAGACCAGACTTCCCCTAGAGAGCTCTGTACCTATAGCCCCCTATACCGCTGCTGTGGCTTCTTGTTGTGGTAACAACATATTAATGTATGTGACATTTACTGAGTTACTAGGAGCTTGACTGAATGTGCTTGCACATAGGTTCAACTGTTTAGTATATTTTTATTGCTACCAATAAGAACATAATTTGAACAAATAAGCTGAGAGGGGAAACAATTTACACCTTGAAGTCATCAAGTTTAGCAACTTTTAACAGTGTAAATACAATTTCATCTTTCAGATTAATTCAGGTAGTTCCTTGTAGAGTAAGGGTGGAGTTCTGTGTGAGTTTATGGGGATGGAGAGAACCGGTGTTATCTGGTCTCTGTCATTGGCCAAAACTCAGCTTACTAACTAGGAAATGAACATAATAACATGTGGCTTGTTTGCGCAGTCAAGAGCTTGGAGTCTCTGCTCAACAGAATTACCCCGAAACTGACCCAGACATTCTTTTATAGAGATTTGTAAGGTTTAGTGAATAATTATATACACTGGGAGCATCTCCATTGAGGGTTCCTACAGCAGTGTTTATTCATGTCCTGGTAAACGGAATGAGAGAAGAGTGGACAGACCTGCTAAACATTCTCTACTGACCAATGACTGCAGGATTAGTATAGTCAGCTCTAAGATGACAGCTATAGATGCATCCTCAAAACATTGTGGTGGATTTTTCTGAGCAAAACTTGTGTTTATGAACTGCTTGGCTGATCACCTGTGATTTCTTCTGAAACTTTGGGGGTTTTGTCTTTCTTACATGAAGAAAGTTAATTCCAGGCTCATTTAAGGCTACCAGCTATGTAGGACAAGTTATTTTGGGGGTTGATTTATTTTTTTTTATATACAGAACATTTTTCTGACTCCCTTGCTGCAGTGTTTTTTTTTTTGCTTTGTAAGAAGACTTGCCACAGTGTATGGAGCCAAATGTTCCCTTCTGAGTCCCTTGAGTTATCTAGTTTCTAGAAGACAGTTATTGAACATCTCAGATGGCATATCTGAGTAAAGCAGCGGTATGCGAAAACTGAAGAAAACACATTGACTGAAAATTACCCAGCCCAGGATCTATCTGGAGCTTATTGCCCTATTACTCTCCTGCTAGTGGGCTGTGAAGCTTCAGTGTATCATGTTTACATCAGTGTTTGTTAACAACATTTGTTACTCTCATGAAAGGGGTTACAGCATGTGACAACCTCAGTGCTGTCAAAGTCCACTGTGCTCTGATTCCTCACTGTTTCTTGGACATGTTTTTACACGTTATTCTTATTCAAGTCATCTTTATAGATGCACAAAAATAGCTTTGAAGGGATGTTTTTAGAATGTGTTATTTCAGAAACTGAAGTTCAGGATGCTGTCCATGATGACTGCGTAGTGTACTCTGCAATCTAAGAGGGTTGTTTCTGTCCCCCTGCCCCCCATGGTTCCTGTTCTTTGAGAAATCAAAGACAGAATTATGTTAGTTTTCCTTTTGGAGGCTCTGCCTTAATCAGGAACAGCTGCATTGTGAGACGCTCAAACTGCTTCCATTGTGTTCTGTTATTTATTCTGAAGCCTGGTGAAGATGTTAAAAAAAAAAAAAAGAACAAACAAACAAACAAACAAACAACCCACCCCCAAACCTAAGCCAAAATTAAACAACAAACCAAAAAAGCTTAAACACACCCCCCCCCCGCCTGCAGCAAGCAATCTGTTTTTCAGATCCAAGTGTGCAACAAAACAAGAGGTTAATAAAGTTCTGACACTCTACAAAAGCAAACTTTTGGTATCCTAAATAGAGCTGATATTTCTTCCTTCTAGTGTTCCTAGTCCTCAGTTATCCAGGGGATTTTTCACATGACTAGGCACTGTATAATTGTATAATTTAGAGATATATTAAATGTGTAAGAAAATAAGTTTTTTACTGACAAATGTGACTATGTAGGGTAGGATGTTGAAAGAAATAGTTATACTCACCAAGAATGTTCTGTGTCTAGGTATATTCTTTTATAACGGACATCCAGTAAGACAGGTGGATGTTGTCGGGATAGTGGTCCAAATGAAAGAGCGAGATGCCTTTTATAATTATGGAGGTAAGAAAAGTTTCTTTCTTTCTTCTTGCACTTACCAGCCTTCTAATCTTAGTTACTGTTAGAACTTAAGGGTTGCCTTATTTGATCATTGTCTGCTCTTGAAACAACTGAGCTTTTATCCTAGTGCAATGTGCATCTGTAGCTTGGATTACTTAGAAAACTTTTACTACTTTTTATCTCCACTTTAAAAGCAGAGAAACAAATAGTTAAAACAGAGTAACTGATTCATTTGGGGTCATCTAGCAAATCTGAATTTGGGTTACTGCTTTGCCACTGGAGTCCACCATCTTCCTCTCATATATATATATATATATATGCAGTTCCTTTGGTCAGATAGAAACGGATTTAGCAGTGCCTGCAAACGGGAGGTCACTTCTTCCTTTTTTGAACCTTAGAAATCCCTTCTAACTTTTTGTATGTTTTGTCGTATCTTGGAGCCAGCTTTTAATAGCAGTCAGGAGTTTGTTTATATTTAGATGCGTAAGAGTCTTAGCAAATCTAACCAAGGCATCATCGTACCAGTCCTTGCCAACACCAGCTGGGAGTTGTCTCCTCCTTATTGCTTTTCCCAATATTCAGACTATTTTATTAACATGGAAACATCTGATTGTCATTGTGTTCAGCTGTCTTTTTCTTATGGAGAAAAAGCAGAGTGGAGTAGCGGTGATGTGGCAAGTTTCAAAAAGTGGGGGAGGTCATCTTACAGTAGGAAAGGGGAGCCAAATGCATAGATGCTATTGAAGCACTTGAAGGACTCATGTCCAGTGTCTTCCTCTGCCATGGGTTTCCACCTGATGGAGGTAAATCACAAGGCGCCTCTTCTTATCCAATTCCCTCACTTGCAAAATTGAGTCAGCAGTAATTCCCTGACTCACGGGAGTATTGTGAAGATACAGTTGACAACTTAACCAGGTCCCAGCTTCCACACCACCTGCACTTGCATCATACTGCTGCAGAGTAGCATTAACTGCTAGGGCATATAGCATACCCTGCACTGGGTGTGGCTGCTTAGAGGTGACTCTGTGCTCTATAGAAATGTCCCTGCAAGTTTATTAGAGTGGATATTTTCTAGATTTTTAAGTCTAATTTCTGGATGTTTGTTATTACTCTGCCATTATGCTAAATAATGAGTTGACAGTAAATATTTGGAAGCACAAGTTTCTCTGGCAGTTGAAGTAGCACACGCTAAACAAGCATCTAAGATAAGAGGCAAAGATGTAATTGATGATGTAACGAAGCATTGAAACATAAATTGAATGTCAGCTATTATTCTTTTATTGCACTAGTATGCAAATTCAGTTATCACTTCATGAAAATAGAGAAAGACAGACTCAAAATGACCAAGGCAAAACCAATTCTGTGAGCAAGGGTTTCCCACGCTGCGCTCAGCATTAGTTCAGATGTAAACTTGTTGGAAATGTTTGATTGGGGCAGAAAATGGAGCAATAGCAATAAAAAGAAACTGCACAGTGGAATTAAGGCCTTAGTGTTAGATCAGCCGACCTTTAAGTACAGCTCTCAGTGAGCCTGGCTTCCTGCTGTCCTTTCACATCCAACTCCACTCTTTGTTCCAGCAGTTCCTGGTCTGAGCTTTCAGGCTACCTGCCAGGGTGCCCCTCCCCAGCCTGCCCTCCCTTTCAGGCAGGCTGACTCTGCCAGCGTAGAACTGTAACTTCTTAGACAGTTTCCTGCATGTAACTTCTTGTATCTCTCAGTTCAACAGAGTCTGGTTGGTGAGTCACAGAACAGGCATTCCATCAGTTGGAGTGCTGCACGCTGCTCAGTACTTGCTCACTTTCCATGTGCTTAAAAGTGACTTACAAAGCAATTCCCCCTTTGTACTTTTTCTCTGATAGAGAACTGAAATGTCTTTGTGTCACTGCCACTATCTCCCCTCCCCATTTCCTATCTGTCTACTTCAAAATACACACCACTCATTTTGAGAGAATCTTAGGTCCTCTCTGTGCTGAAAACCATACAGCTAGAACTGGTGACAAAATAATAATTGTAAAAGAAAGTGAATTGACTTTTTCCTGGCTTAAAAAAAAAAATTATTACATACTGCGTAAAACCTGGTTTTGACATTTTGATTTGATTATTTATTGCTATTATTATGATCAATTCAGAGAAGGATATCTAATTAAAGTATAGCTTTGAACAAGCTCATGTTTTAGCTAATGCACCTTTTGAACCTCTTTTTTTTCCCTTTCCTTTTTAACAAAACCAAACATCACATGTGGTTTTCCTTATACTCCAGAACTGTTTTGAAAGGCTGAAAGGCACTTGCCTTAAAAACAAATGAAAAAAATCTCAGCAGGATCTCAGTAGGCTCACATAGGCCCTTCAAGAACCATACCCTTTTTGTTATAAAGAAATAAAAATGAACATAATTACCTCGTTTACCCAAGTAGCTTTGAGAGTGCTACCCCTCAAATAGTTAATGTAAGAGTCAAAAAAACCCAAACAAACAAAACAAAACAGAAAAACCCAAAAAACCAACCAAACAAAAGTTTAAACCCAAAGAGATGAGGAAGGGTGGCGCAGGGAGCACAGGAAGTTTTCAAAAGCTTGTAGACCCCTTGAGTGCTTTTAAAATAGATTAACATTCGCCTGTCTAATTAGAATACAATTGCAAGAGTTCTCAGTCATCTGTGCTTCAGGAGTTATTTGTCTCTTTGTGCAAAGCTTTTATTTGTGAACTGTGAGCCTTGCTCTGCTACCAGATTCCCTGTGTGGTCAAGAACAGGTCAGTCTCTCCAGAACTCCATGTTACATTGATGAGGAGGAGTCTGGCCTCCTAATCCTTCAGTCTTGTTTGTTTTGCTTCTAAGCCTTTCTTGGGAAGCCGATCTGTTGCAGCTGGTGCAATAGCCAGTTGTGAGCTGGAACATCTAGAAGCTGCAGTAACGCAATAAGTGAAACGTCATCTGCCCTGTTTCTTATTGCTGGCTTGCATGAATGGCTTGGCGTGGTATATGGGGACTCTGACTCCTACTAAAATAGTTGCTTTTTGTCTCTACCAAGGAGAGGAAATCCTACCAGCTAGATCATTATCTATGCTCTGGTACAAAATGAAAGACGCAGCAACTCAAAGGGGGGTTGGAATGAGATGAGCATACTTTTCTGATGGAATTTGGAATCGCCTGCATCTTATAAATGCTGTATATTTGTTATTAGGAATGTGCAGCTAAGCCACTGAGAAACAGGAAGGCCAGACAATGATTTGCAATTGGACCCCCCAAATAGGGAGATTGTTTCAAAACATGTGAGACAATGCAAAGGCATTTTGCTTTGATGATATTGTTCCCAGAGGAAGCGACTGCAGGTACCAATCAGTACTTTCCTGGTAAACATTGCTGTTACTTTTGCAGTCATGGATCAGGTTTAAGGAGCAGAAGAAAGTTGCAGATTCCAATTTGTGAAGAAGGGAACCTCAGTCTTGTAGATGGCCACATTTAAGGAGGAAGGTGCTTGGAGCATTAGCTGGACTGGAAACATGACCCTTGCTGTGATTTGACAGGCATTTAGTGCATTTTTATTTAGAGAGTGTTTGTTGGACATGCCATCTATGTACAGTCTCTTTATTTGTAGAACAACTGATTCTTCTGACAGTTTTTTAGTTTTCATTGGATTTTGTCTTTTTCTGTTGTCCTTGACAATGCAGTGCCTGGGGCAGAAATTGCAAAACTTATTTTGATTAGGTGCTAACAAAACAGGAAAAGCTAGATAGCTCCTGTGTTCAGGAGAAGGTGTTAAGCTTTTTCAGCAACGGAAGTGGCTTGCATGCCACCAGTACATATACTTTAAGTTGGGAATTTCTGGCCTAGAGCAGAACCACGAGCATGTGCTGTCCTCTGTCCTTCCTAGAGGAGCTGCCTTTCTGCTCTGTCAAATATCCTCTTGCACAGGAAACGCCAGCAGACCTTGTGCACAGTATTAGCATGGAAATCAATGCGGCTGGAGGTAGCAGCACTCCTAGTCTATTCACGTGACTGTACCACCCAATGTTGAAGTGCGGTTTTCTCACTGTAACAGTAATGCTTCTGTGTTTTGTGCCTAGTTTCCTATTTTAATTTGTCTGGCTTCAGCTTTCAACACTGACTCTTTTTCTGACCTTGTCAATGAGATTAAAACCCCTTAGTATACAATATGTACTGAAGCCTTATAATTTAAATTAGCACTTGATCTTTTTTTGAGAATATACCTGTTACTTTTCTGACTATGCATATAAGCATGGTATATGGTGCTGAGTTACTTCCACAACTGAAACGGCTGTGGAGATTAATTCAGAGGTATTAGCAGAGGTTGAGCACACACTTTCCCTTTCAGACTATCCCTATCCTTGGCAGTCCTCTTCCTATATATCTACGTACCTTCACTTCTTGGAACATCACTACCTGCTTTCTTACTCTGTAATTCCTGCATTTTTTTTACAGTGGATGATAGTACTGGAGTTATAAATTGTGTCTGCTGGAAAAATCCCGTGGTAGCAGAAACATCTTTATCAGGTAATTTATCAAATAAATAATTCCTCTTTTGACTGTACATTTGTGCTTATGTCTGTCTTACATAATTCAGTAAATGATCAAACTTGCAGAAGAGCAAATTCGTCTTTTGGGTTTTTTCCTTTTTTTTTTTTTTAAATTTTTAACCATCACATCCTACAGCCTGGGCTATTTTTGGAGTTTCATATTACTTTTTGTGTTGTGTCCAATGGTGATGCCAGTAAAACCACTACAAAAACCTTCTTGTCATGCCTTTTCCTTATCTGAGTAATAGGGTATTTCAATTCTATGTTGTGACATTGCTCAAAGAATCTTCTTCTTATGGGTCATTTTGTGACTTCATTTAGTGAGGAACTAGGCTGGAAGTCTGCCACATGGCACAGCTTCTGTTTCCAAAACCAATCCGTTGAACAGCAACCTGGTCTACGTTCCCCACCCTTGTGATACAGTGGTTTCAGGACACATGTCCTCTTCTTTGTTTTGCATTCATGTTCTCCTGCTCATGTATATACTGTCAATGGTGAACTTGAAAGTAGCTTAAAACACTGTGGGGATGCCAGCAGTCTTTTACGATTTGGGAAAGTTCTAAATCTGCAGAAATTGTGCATTTGAAATGAATCTATTATTGCACTCAATAACAGAAGAACTCACGAGTGTCTGGGTTTCTCTTTGATTTTTCTCCCACCATTTCTCATAGGTCAAAGTATGGAATACTTTCTACTTTGGACCTTCTTGAAATCTCCTGTAGTAGACTGACAACCCTGATATGGAGCTGATCAAATCCTACTGAAATAAAAATTACTAATGTCATCTGCGAGTGTTAGGGTTACATACACATAGAATGGGGAAAGGAAAGCCTTATGTAAAAGTTAAAAACTCTGATGTCTGTGGAACAAGCCCATTTATACAGACAGATAATTCATACTTACATTTAACAATGTTCCCAACTGGAACTGGAATCTAGAAGACAGCTCTCACTTTTAGAGAAGTGATGGTGTGGCACACCATTTTTTTTATGAGGAACTTAAATTCATTAAAGGAATTGCATGAAATACTGCTTGAAACAGAATGAGCACCCAGAATGCTTGTTTCAGCCTTGTAGTCTTGTTTACATGTACATCAGTAGTGCTTGAACGGACACTATGTTATTAATGGAAACAAATTCACCGCTTTGGCAGGGTGGTTGGACTAGATGATCTCCAGAGGTCCCTTCCAACCCCTACGATTCTGTGATTAATTCATTTGTACCTGCTAAAGAAAACAGCTCCTAGGGGGCACAGGAAGCTTTCTTCCAGCTTTTTGTAGTTGTGATCAGGGATACATGGATCACTAATTAGGCTTTAAGTTATGAAGAATTTACTCTGCTGCAAAGGTGTGTTATGTAAATGTGAAATTCTGTCAAGTTGCATTCACTTCAGTGTAGACATCAAATTGCATCACATGAATACTTTAGCCCCACCTCAGATGACTCATTTTTCTTTTATGTAAAAAGCTCAGCTGACTTTTCTTTTCCCTTCTCATCCATCTTAGCATGACAAAATCAAAAAATTATAAAACCTATTTCAAATTAATGTTTCAATTTTGCAATCCACCTATGACATTTTCAGTGATAAATCAGTATCTCCTCCCTTTTACGCTTTCCCCAGGTGAGCTATTTAAATAAATATAATAGTGTAAACTAACTTTGTCACCCAAAAGTTTTGCTACCCAGGACACATGGTTCCTGGGACCTTACGCCTTGTTCAGTAACATGACTCCTGTGATGCTTAGATGTTTGGATGAATGCAGAAGGACAGTCCTCTTGGCCTTAATGCCTGATCTCCTTTCCCCCACTTCTTATAGGTTGTCCAAGCACACCCAGCAGTCTTACTGTGCTTGAACAGATGAAGAAACTCCAAGAAATGGTGAGCCAGAAAACCAAGCTGGAGATCGGGGATGTTGTCAGGGTCAGAGGTCACATCCGAACCTACAGGCAACAAAGAGAAATCCAGGCTTCATGTTTTTGTGAGTGTTATGGATCTGTGACATAAGTGACTTGGTTGTCTGAATTTGTGAGAAGACCTAAGCTGCATGCAATTCATTGAATAATTTCCAGTTTATTTTCTGGCAGCTCATTTTTCTACAGAGATTTTAATCTGTATGTTTTTATTTCGATTTTAGCAGAGTAAGGTTAGAAAACACAGGTCGTAATGTGTGGGATTAAATTGCCTGAAAGATGACCCGCATGCATACAAAAATGCTATGCAGATACTGTGGTTGGGTATCTGTGAGATTGACTTGCTCTTCAATCTTGTTGAAGCAGAACAGCCAAAGCCCATGGGAAGAGAGTTGATGACCTTTTTATGCCACACTTCATCAAGAGCGTTAGCTGCTTTGCAGAAACGGTCGCTGTTTGTCTCAGCCTGTATAATCCATTCCATAGGCAGACAGCAGCATATGGGCACATTGTAGCACTGAAACCCAGGTTCTTCTAAACTCTCTGGCTCTGCAGAATGTCTGGGAAGTGTTTGTCATCTTCAGTCACTTGGGTATAGATCTGCAGGTGCTGCCCGTGTATCTGAGAGCTCTTTGGGTAGCAGGGTTCTGCAGTCCACTGTTTACACCCTAGGAGCTTCCAGTTACATAACTTCATCTCTTCTCTGTGTCTGGGCTATTGTGCAAGAGTTGGGTTTCCCCAGTGAAATCTTTCGGAGACAATACTGAAATGATTTCTTTGGTAGGGGAAAGCCTGTCTTCTAAAAACCCTGCGTAGCTCAGATAAAAAGTCTCTAGATTTTTCAGCTCTAGCTAAAATCTGAGAGGGAATTCAACCCTCCTTTCCAGAAAGAAGATTTATCAATGTATAACCCATTCAAGGGCTGTTAATAATACCATTGTTTCATTAAACGAGAGCCACGCAATCCAAATAGCCTCTAAATTGCTTTCACTTTGGCCCAAAGCAAGCTCCTCACTATATGTTAACTTCATCTAATGGATAAAGACTGCTGAAAGGTAAAATATATCATAAATTCCGGTTAAATAAGTTGTCAGATCAAAGCATAATCTGCAATGCACCACAACAGGTCATTTACCTCCTTGTAAACTATAAAAACAGGAGTGGCCTTTGTGGTTTTGTTTTTATAAAAGCAACAGCAAACAAAATTTGCCAATTTAATACTGGCATGTGAAGCTCTGTTGTGCTGCCTCAGGTATGCTTGCTTAAAAGATTGGTATGATAGTTCTGGCCAAGTACGTGTATTCTTTTTTCCGCTCCAGATAAAGTGGATGATCCTGTGTGCGATGTTCAGATTTCAAGAATGCTGGAGCTCCCCTGTCTGTATAGAGAAGTTTATGATAAACCTTTCCAAGGCCCCGAGGAGGGACAGAGGTAAATGCAGTATCCATACTGGTCTTGGGGCAAAGTGTGGGATTTTATTATTGTTTGTTTATTATTGTAATAACTGGAGAAAAGCAGAACAGGGCCCGACTGTGATTTAGACTGCACAAGCATACAGTAGCAGCCTGCTGTTCTCCCAAATAATTGATGATCCATACAGATGAGATAGCTGTCCATAATATGAGAAAAGAAACATAATGCTGAACAAAAGTGAGTATTAGGAAGGTAGTAAAATACTGTATAGAGAGACCTCTCGTGTCTAGTAAAGAAAGCTGGGGTTTGGAGCAAGATTTGGGGGTGAGGTCAACAGATTAGATGGAGGAGTGTCCTTGCCTGATTTTGTTTTATGTGTAAGGATAAGGAGCTATTCCATTGAAATGCTCTCAACTTCTGCTGCCCATAAAATCCCAAATATATAACCTCAATAAACTGAGTCGAACACCCGTTCTTGTATTCAGTTTAAAGGTAGCTGGATGCTAATTGGCAGGTCTGATGCGTGTAGTGTGGTTTCAGAGACTGCAGATCTCAAAATCACAACACTGTTACAGCAAATGATTGAAGAGGAACAGTTGGATGTTTATTGCTTATAAAAATGGTCTGTTTTAATTAAGGGTTTAAATTCAGATTCTTTAAGGACAGTAAAATACCTTTTGACCTTTGAAAACCAGCCTAGCAGGCTAACTTTAGCTAATTGTTCTAAAAAATGTTACTAGTATATTTCTTGCCTTTTGACGTGTTCTATGTATCCTTGTAGTGGTCTGGAGGGTCAGAATTTCTCAATCAATATGCTGCATGAGAAAGTGAAAGGCTTTCTATTAGAAAACAAAATTCAGACCTTTTACCAACAGGAGTTGGAAACGATTGATACTCTGGTGTCACTGGCTGGTGTGCATCTACCCAGTCCCAGCTGTCAGGAGGTGAGTGAATGTATGTAACTGTTTCAAGTTTTTAGTGGCGGGGAAATAATACTGTGTACTTTTTTTAAGCTGTGTACTTTTTTAACCAGATAAGAAGCTGGTGCCTTCAGAGGATTCAAAAACTGCAAGTGCTTTAGCTTTATGCAGGAATTATTTACAGAGCTTGAGGAAACCTTGTCATTTGAGATATATAAAACTGGACTGAAGAAAGCCATATGAGAAAATTCTGTTGTTAAGGGTAATTGTGTATTAGGGCTGAGTAACCGTACAGTCTGCTACAGGTACTAACTTATCTAGATCTGTAAATAGTGGCAGTATCAGAAAAGGAGATCCCTTTAAGGTGCTTGAGCTGTTTGGACAGATGTTTGAGGTCCCAAATTTAATCAGGAGAAGGGAGCACAAAGTCTTGGTATTGTTTCTCATTTGAAGCTCAGTATATTGACAGGGATGTAGCTTTCAAACAGAGTTTGTAATGCGTGGATGAACAGCCCTCCCTACTACATGTTTCTCTTGTTGGAAATCCCTACTTGTGAAAGGCCATGATTGAAAGGATCAGAAGGTGGGATTTAATTGAAATCAGTTTATATGCAGTTGCGTGTAACCAAACTGTTAAGACCCTTTCCAGTGATATAGTATGTTCTTGGTCAACTGCAGAATGGGAAATAGAACAAAAAACATGTTGTAAAATGGTTTTATATTACTTTGTGTTATTTGGATAAATTACAGACCAGATTCTCAACTGGTGTGAAGTGGTAAATTTGTGCAAAAGTAGCAGAGTTACGGCTTTTACCATGTTACTAATGGCAACTGAAACTAGAGTGTTGTGTGACTCACTTGTTTACTTTTTTGGTTTTCTGTAGAGAAATAAATCTCTGGCAGGCATTTTCACTGCCTCATCTGATATGCACTATAAAGTTAAGTGCTATGTTATGTTAACATCTGATGTTTGTTTAATTTTTAAAAAAAACACACACACAAAACCCATTCCCTTGCAGATGGGGTCAAATAATAACGAAAAGTAGCTCTATTCTTGTTGGCTTTGTTGAACGGCTTTTGATAGCTGCTTCTTGATAGCTCTTTCTTTTATTTTTATTAAAGGAACTTTTGTTGTTTTCTTTTAAGCAAGCGTGGATATAAACAATAACAGGAATAAAAGTTTGATACTAGAATATCCAACCTGGGACAGCAGGGTATTTTTTCTAAACTAGCTGGAACAGTATTGAAAGTTCCCAAACATTCTACATTAAAGGAAGTAGTGATCATTGAGACTAATACTGGAAACTTCCATCTTTGAAGTTTCAGCATTTTAGATGAATAACTTCCAAAGCCATTTAAAGTGGGAACTGGTGCAGAACAAACATAGAAAGGCACAAAAAAAAAAAAGAACCCTACCAAAAACAAAGCAAACAAACAAAAACAATGTAGCATCAGCATTGTTAGCAGTCATGAGGAGCTATCATAATAATTAATAGTTGCTCCCGACCCTGATGCAAGGGTGTGAGTATATGTCCCAGGAATTTGGGCACACAGATACTTATTTAGAAATTGCACTTCTCCCTATTGCCCTTCGGTATTAATTCCTTGCAAGGAGGCTTATATATCTTTGCATAAGAAAGAACCTGCAGTCATGAAGTGACCTGAATGCCTTAAGAGGAGCACCTAATAAAGCTCTGGAAATGCATTTTGTTGTTCCTGTGCTCTGTCTCTTGAAGGTGTCACTTCTCATAATTGGCAAAGGGTCACATACACAGTTTGAGCCGCAAAAATAGGTGTAATAGATATGATTTCTGTCCGTCTTCCTTTCTTTTCCCCTCCGTAGTCTTCTGTTTTGCATCGCCCTCAAGCCAAAAGGATAAAGGGTGCTGCTAATGTGGAATGATATTATTTCATGCCTATTTGGCAAGGCAGGAACTGAGTGAGGAGTGAGTGGACCAAACTAATTAGGCCACAACACAATATACACACTTGTTCACTTCTTGCACTTTTCCTGGATATGAAAGGATGGGTTATTTGGATGTATAACTTTATTTTTTTTACCCTGATTCCAGTGTTCTAGAGCACAGTTACTGTTAAACTCTTTTCTTGCCTCTGTCTTCCTTTCACGGTGATCCTAGGAAATGTAGTGCACCCCCTTCATCTCTTTACCAACTTCTAAAGTACTTGCACATTGTTCATCGTAGTGGGAGGGTATCTCCCCGTGAAATATTTTCTCCAGGGAGGTGGTGAGCTGCTATGGAGTCACTGTCAGTGGAGCGGAGCAGGGGGTGAAGATGGAAGGAGGTAGCTGGTATAGCTTGAGGTAGGCAGCACCTTTCTGTTCCTTTTCAGCATTACTGTACCTGACCCCTGTCCACATCCCATACATGTCTTACAATACCTAGTTCCAGTCCTAATGGCTCCCCAGCAGTGCAGTCTTCTGGCTCTCCAGAATAAATTTCCCTCTAGCAGATGCACATGGCAGAACTCAACTTAGGTCCTCTGCTCAGACATATACTAGGGAACATCCAATTTTATAATCTACAGAGGATGGGTAAGAGAATTGGAAGGCTTGGTGTTTTTAAAAATAATTAAAAATTAACAAATCTGTTACCATTTTTAAAACCAGTGGAGCTTTATTTCACATAACCACACACCCCCTTTATCCCTAAGCTGTTGCCTTTCCCTTATCCTTTAAAACAAATGACTTCTGAGACTGGAGGGTGGGTACCACAAGGAAGACTACAAGTGAGAAAACAGAAAAAGTAATCTTATGCTTAGATAACCTAAAGAGTGTACTTGCTGTACTTAAGCAATTATGTTTGGCAAATGGACAAGCCTTTGGTTCCTTTTTAAAAAGAAAATTACATGTGAACTTGATCCATCCATTTTCTCAACTGGATTAAATACAACTTGCAACCAGCCAGTCTTGCTTAACCATTTTTATGCACTTCTTCCGTGCTTGAGCTCTAGTGTGTGCTATTTTAGTATTACCAGTCCAGTTTGTGTGTGTCACTAGCTTGGACACATAACTTGGGTTGTGCTTTCTGGACTCTGCTGTTTGTACTTCTCTTGATTTGAATATTATCTCAAGATCAGCAATGACAAGTAGTTAAAGCAGGGAGTTTTACAGTGGTTTTCATACTTACTGTATATACCCTGTATATTGTACTGTAGGTGTAACATAGTGCATTATATGTTCCTGATGCTATGTGCTTGTCTTCCTGCCTCTCGAGGAAGCTTCATTGCTACTTTAAATATGTATATTGCAAAGCTTATTATAGGACTTCAGGACTGACATGTCCAGAACCACTATTACTAAAATTGTCACCTGTCTGAGCCAAGGATTAAACATTGCATGAGAAATAGCAAAGGCAATTCCATGAGTAGAATCACGTGTATGGTTATACCAGGAAACTTTAACACCATCAGGGTGTGTTGTGATTCATAATGAGCCAAAGGTTACATACTTTCAGTGTTTTGAACAGACTGACTAATTCCTGTACCACTTCATTCTTTGACCTATTATCGATTGTACAGAGAGTTTGTCTTGTTTTAAAGATCTGAGAATAACTGGTTGCATAGCACCAGCCCACTAAGCTGTGTGAGACCCATCAGATGGAATATATTGATTAAAATACCAACTTAATTCTGGAGACACGGATTCTTCTGTTGGCTTTGCTACAGAGTTCTTGGCTGGTCTTGAGAGGCAGGGTAGTGATGATAAAATTGTTATTTAATACCTGCTTCTCTCTTGGGGTGGGGGGGACGTGTTTTGCAAAAGAGAGATTTCTTCTCTCTGTGTATAGCCCCGTGTTCAGTCTCCTGTAGATTTCTGCTCAGTAGACTAAATCACAAGTTTAAGCGTACATTGGCTCTGAGGGGAGATCCATATCCAGAGGAAATGAGGGCTTGGTTTGACATAAAAGAAAGTGATAAGGTATTGGGAATAACTACTGTTGACTTATGAATTTGCAGGATGAGATGCTGGAGATATTTTGGGTGGACCAAAAGAACAGATTTAGTAATTTTAGATTGTGTTGACAAAGGAACTCCTCAGTTGTTGCTTTACTCAGAGGCATGGAGAGGAGGAAGCATGTTCTAGAGCACACTAGGGAAAAAACCCAAACTTTTTGTGTCATTTCAGGGTAATACTAAAGCCCCTGAAGAGCGCAGAAGCCCTCATTTGTTCTTCAGGAGCAGTCCTTCTGCCATGGGGCCCTTTCCCTTGGACTCTGCAGCATATATGAGAGGGTGCTGATATGTAGCAGCTGCTTACTTATTTTCTCGCTCCCAAGACTGCCTCTCTGCCTTCGTTCTGTCAAATCCCTTGCATTCTTAGTGATTCTGTTTCAGTATCCATCCAGGCTGAGCTGTGTGTCAGTTCACGCAGAGTCTGTTTTTAATTATCTCCCCTTTCTGACGGGATCTCAGTGTTAAGCCAAACTGAATAATTGTCGTGCTTCTTTGGAGATATTTTTATCTTTTTTTCTCCCCAAATGTTTGCTTTCACATTAAAAATTGATCAGAGTCTTGAGGTGGTTGCTTTGCTAGCGGTTTCTTAGATTCTTGACGATTTATTACTGGCTTTGAGTGAGAGGCAAAGTCTCTTCATTTTACATATGGCTATGAGAATGTGATTTTCCATGAGAAAATATTCACTCTTCACTTAACCCTTCCTGCTACATTTTATGTTTATTTCTTCAGTTCATCAGAAAAGGCACTATGAAAAGAAATATGATAGTATTAATGCTGTGACTGGAATGGTGTCCAGATGTATGGTCAGGTTTGTAGTTAGAAGCAGTGTCTGTTGTTATCCAAACTGATACAGCTGTGGTGGACACGGGGACAGACAAACATCCGGATAGTGAAGTCCTTCACTCTGGAACATAAGGAAAAATCTGAACTGAGAATAACAACCATCATTCTATGTTAATTATCTTGAACTATTAGGCAATTATTTTTGATTGTTGGTTTGAGAAGAAAAAGATAGTTAGCTGTTAGACAGAGAGAGAGAGATGTGATTATGGCCTGTTGAAATATTGAGGATTAACTGGAGAAAGGGGATGGAGAAACTTGTGATGCATGCTGATGCTAATGTCCCTATTGCATCTCTGAACTATTCCCAGTTAGGCACATCAGCTTCTAGGCTTGGAAGCAGATGGAGTTTCACTTGAGACTTGCAAGTGGATCGAATGAATGTTTTGTGAAAATATATTCTTCCATTGCTAATGTGGTGTCTGTTTCACATATTTATGTGAATTCCTTCTGGTATATGGCAGTTGCCTGTTTCACTCTCAAGGCTTCTGCGAGTCTGGTGACTGAAGTAGGATATGTGAAGCCTGATACTTTTGTTCAGGACAGGATGGGAGCATTTACAGTGATAGCTGAAGGAATGGCTTCGCAAATCTTGCTTTGGTTGCTCTGGTGTGGTTCTAGTTATCACATGTTGGTTTGTGGGAATCAGTTTAGCTCTGTGCTTTAGAAAACCACAGGGAGCACAGCGTGCTCCCAACAGATGAGGAAACAGCAACTGGGGAGTTGAAGGAGCCTGTAGATACATGGGAGGTTGAAGGATGTAGTAGGGCAGATAGAGATGGAGAAGAGTAAGTCATGGTCTTGTTCTTATCTACCCATACTTTCTCCTCTCCACAATTGATTCTTTATTTCCTTCCACTTTCCTAGCTGTCATTTCACTGTCTTAGCTCTGCCCTACTTCTAAACAAACCCTGCTTTTCCCTGATTTTTTTTTTTCCCCTTCCTTCCTACTTTTAGATGTGTCCCAAACACAGAATCCTTTTGTCTAAAGAACCTCTTCAGTTATGGACTTCCAGGCACATTGTTCTCCTTTCACAAGATACTTGTTTTCCACCTGAATCTTTTTTTCCCTTATCTTGTATAACTATCTTAATTTCTTGCATGCTCTTTATCCTTTCAATTTATTAGACTGTGTAGAAACTCTTGAGAGCATAACCAGAATATGTGTAAAAATTTGGAAACTAAGGGGACAAGAAACAAATACTGTTCTTGCCAGTTTCTTCTTTTTCCTTGGACGCTGCCTCAGTTTCAAATCAGGAGATGGGAATCCAATCCCCAGCACTTGGATTCTTCCTAAACATCACCTTAGAAAGCGCTGATTTCTCTGTCTTCCTACCCTTATTACCAGGAAGACTCTGAATATGAGCAAAGCTTGATTAGCTAAACAGTCAAATGCTCTGTTAACATCACAAGCCTATTTAAAAAAAGAGTTCTCAGCACCTAATCAAATAGCTGCTAAATACAAAGAAGGCAGTTAGGAGATACTCGTTCCTTAAGAGTGGGACAAGCTTCTCGTGTTTGTTTGTTGTTGTTGTTTTTTTAAAACTTAGCTGTATTGGTTAGTTCATACATAACAGATATGAGTTGTGAATTACTAAATGAAGAAAAATGTGTAACAAAATCACCTGAAGTCCTCTTGCTCTTGAAAGCATGAAGCTTTTTCTGGTAACTTTAATTGAGCTGAGATTTCTCACCATCTGCTTTATTTCTTTCTTCCTATCCAGGTTAAGTCAAAAAATGACTCCAGTTCCAAAAGGATTCACAGTGTATTTAAGGAAGCAATAAGGATGCTACAAGAAAAAGGGGTGGTTTTCCAGAAACCCAGTAGCTCCAGGGACTTATACCATGTAAGAAACTGAGCTGTGGTTGCAAACAAGTTCAGGGGTATGACTTTCATAGCCAGTAGAAATAGTAGAAAAGTTTCAGAAATAGAAGCTGGAAATCCAAGTGCTGTCTATTTACTCAAAAGTCTTATCTGCAGCTTACTTCACTGTTGCTTTTAACTTTGTATCACCCACTGACTTGTTCTTTTTGTAACTCAGCAGCAGGCTTAAACACTGCTTCTGTTCCAAGCACAGCCTGTGTTCACTGGGTTGCCAAACTGTGCACTTAGGTAGCTGAGCAAACTGAAGGCTGGGACGTGGGACAGTTCTCTTAATCGAAGTCGATTGAAACTTGGTGTTCCACTGAGTCAGTTGCTCTCCTTTGGGTTGAATTCTGGTATATCTTGTTCTTCGCCCAACTCATGGATGCTGCTAACATTACTAAAAATAAGAACTGGAGAGTTAACATTCATTATTAATCTTGGAGGCAGTTTATAATGCAGACTGTAGTTATGATAGTGCTAGTTTAGAATATGTCATGGCCTTGGGTTGCTTTTCAACAGTCATGCCATCTGCTGTGAAATAGACTGCTATAAATTGCCAGTTTCTTCTCTTTTCTCCAGGTGACTGACCATGATAAGGGGCTGCTTAAAGTGACCCTTGATGTGATTAAAGAAGACTGTCGAAAACCCAGGCGTAAGTAGCAGTGTGATCAGGCCTCTGATGAGCTGGTGCTGATATATTGATGACAATATCTCCTGCTGCTGCTGCATTAGATATGCTTCTTGTCCTTACCCTTGAACTCAGAGCTAAGTTGCTAGTGTAGCTAATCAGTATAGCTAAAAGCAGGAGTGCAAGAGCAATTTCCTGTGAGCATGGAGAGGGAAAAAGCAGGTGTGCCCAGCAGGACGCAAACCCCTCAAACCTGAAATAAGCAGCCATTATCTTAGATCTATATCTTTTGAGAATACTTAGATTTTGGGAGGAACCAAATGTAATGAAGTTAGGTCAGCACCTAGCAGCTGTTGTTTTGCACTCTGGATACGTAGGCAAATCTTGCTAGTTCAGTTTCTACAGGGGAGTTGACACAAAAGTGACCATACAGAAAGGTGAAATCCCCACCTCCATTAAGTCAACAATGAAACTTCCTTAAGTCAGTAGGATATTCTCTGTAGATTTTAAGATCAGGTAGAGCTCAGGTTGATTGTTCTTTGCGGGTAGGGATTTCAGTCTAACAAAATCCACTTTTCAGATAATATACCTTGTGTGGCTTCTGAGTTATCCCTGTCCCTCAAGCCTATTGTGTCTTATTGCCATAGTGATAGCTTGTGCTTGACTTGAATATCTACTAATTACACAGGTACATTGCGACAGTTTCTTTCAATTCATTGGGCAGAATGTGTCAGCAGGGATCACTTGCTGCTGGAGTGCAGCTATTTGTGGGGTAGAATGCACTTTAGTATAAAATAAATGACTGACTAGAACATAAGGCATATAATCTTAAATTGCTCATATCCTTATACTATCATAACTACAATAGGGCTTGTAGGACCTGATATATGGTAGTTATCCTGCAGTGAAAAAAGGCTAAGTGAAGTGGTATTATTTTTGAGTTTTCAGCAGGCTACCTTAAGCCGTGCTACAATTGTAGGCAGGGTTTGTAGGTGGAGGTAGAAGTTCTGTAACTTTGGGGGTTGGAGGGAGTAGATGTTACTGGGCATGCAGGTGAAAATGAGCTCATTTGCCTCAATGCAACAGAGTTACAAGTGCAACAAGTTACTATATCGCATTGTTTTATTGTACTTTATCCAATTAACAAATACAAACATCTTCACTGTAAAAGGCAAATCATTCCCCTGCCTATTTTATACATCAGCTAGTTCTCCTGGGACCTGTTGAGTTTTGGTTTGGGTTTTGTTTTGGTTTATTTTTATAATTGTGCCATTATAAAGGCCAGAACACGTATACAGTTGACACAGGACACTGAGTGACTGCCTGGTGTTTAACTCCCCTCTTGTGCATTATCACACAGGTTAAGTACTCTCAGTGCTCCATGAGAGGTTGGGAGATTTTTTTAATCCTAGTCAGGAGGAGTCAACAGCAGACAGAAACTCACAGATCAGTCACAGAAAAAACTTTGAAGAGCCCTGAGTCCTCAAACCCATGTTTTCCATATTGAGCAGGTTAAAAATAGTAACTGCTTTACAAAGCCTCTTGTTCTCCTTGAAGCTTCCCACCTGCTCGGTTTCCTGTTGTAAAGAGGACAATTTGCAGTTCAGTGTCTCTTTCTCTGCTAGTTTTCAGAAGGACCGTTTCACTGTCCTGGTCACTCGTAGTAGAAGATTTCGAGAAGAAAAGCCAAGAAGCTTCAGTCAAAACCAACAGGGTACTGCAGATACTTTATTGTCACTGCATGATGCAAGAGCGCAGAGTTCAGTGTAACTGTCGGACCCCCTCTGCTGGTGGGATGGCAGTCTTAGCCACCCGCTTGGCCTTGACTAGTGAGCAGGCTTGTAGTGAGAAGATCAGAATGTAGTAATACCTCAAGGGCTTTTGGTTGTTTATTGCAAGAAATTCCTACCCATTTTCCTTCAAGAGTAATATTAATCTTCCATGACAGAAAGACTGATTTATGATCAACCAAACTCTTCTCTCCAATGAGTTACTTCTCTGCCAGTTTTCAAAGCAATGCCTCACCCAATTGCTTTTGTTGTGACACATTCTCGGGCCCAACCCAGCTGCCTGGAACTGTTGTACAAATAAAAAAAAAATCCTCAGCGTGCCTAGTCAGAGCTCCACAAACCCTGATCTTTAATATGCCTACATGACAACCCTAGTCCTTGGCTCCAATTGTAATTCTAAATAGCCTGATCTTAAATGCCCTCATGTGAGGCCACTGTGGGTCTATCTAGAGGCATAAGACAGCCAGAAAAGGATGACAGTACATTTTGACTCCAGACTGAACTGCAAAATGGTAGACTTAGTCCAGATTGGTTTGTTTCTTCTTTTTTTTTTTTTTTTTCTCACATTTGCTCTGGTTTTAGGTTTAGATGAGGCTAGTAGTAAAGAGGAAAAAAACAGAACCTCTTGAAGTTAAATTTAGTATGTCAAAGTGGAGTCTGTGCAAGATGTTCAAAGTGGACAAATGGTAGTTTTTTCTGGAACTCTGTCCTCTCTGATATTGATAGTCAGGCAAGACACTGAAAGCCTGGCTTACCTCAGCTGGTAGACAAAAGCTAGAACCCCGTATGTCAATGAAAGAGGGACAGCATCACTCCACTGCAAGGACTGTATTCCCTCAAAGTTGGGTTATAGACTAGGAGTGTTTCTGGGTTACTTAATGTACACACCTGTAGCTACCCCAAAATGCCATTTTCTACCGGCATCTAGGAGGAAAGTATGTATTGTACTGTTGGGTAACACTTGAGTCACTGATCTAATTCATCGAGACTTAAGCTAAGTTACTGTATATCAGGGATGGGCACTTTGACCTTCTTATGACAAACCTATGACTCATGCAAAATGCAGCTACCCACTTCGTTTGCAACAACAGTCGCTATGACCAGGTAGAGGCCCTGTTCTGTTCTCTGCACTTATCCGTCCTAGGGCGGTGGATGCATTTTTGGCTACCAGCCACAAAGGTCTTTCATCACACTGGGTCACTGACTTCTAAAGCAATATCTTTACTTGAATCACAGCCTAATAAGCTGAACTGTTTATTTACTAGTATTCAGCATTACCTCCTATCTACCAGTGACTTTTCTCAGCAGCTTCTAAGGCAGTTCTGGGGCTCAGCCGATTCTAGAGAAGAGATTGGCAAAAATAAAACCAAAGGCAGCAACAACACCATACAGGGATCTCCCTGGGCTGTGGAAATTTCTCAGTACCCTTATCAAACTTACCTCACATCATGTGAGCTGCAGGCTGAGGAGGAAGAAAGTAGTTTGTGCCGATGTGTCTCCTTTATGCTAGTTTTCCATTGTTAGCCATAAAGGAGAGAAAGAAATCCATTGTGGAGTTCAGTACTCAGGCAGACTGGGAGCCTGCATGATGATTAGTGGGTTTGCAGGGTCTGTTGGGGGAAATGTTGAGTGGGACAGCTGAACATCAGATGATGGCTCCCCCAGGCACACAGTAGCTGCATGCAATACTGCAGCCATTAAGGACCTTTGTCTCTGGCTTGCCCTCTGGGAAAGGGGATTATTTTTACATTTTTGTTCTCTTGTACATTTTAAGGGTTCACTCCTGTTAAGAGGAGATAAAATTTGATACTGAAGTTCTGTGACTTTCTACTCCCGTAATTGTTTGAGTAGTCTGAAGTGTCCAGAATAGGATTGCACTGCTTGGTTGCCAGGTCTCTGAAAGTTGCACTGTAACAGTTTTTCCACAAGGTGCCAGCATTGGGTAAGCAGTTACAGGTCCTGGCTACTGACCTGTTCTGGACGTTTTTGAAGGTGGGTATGAGCAAAAGGATTTTCATTTAATTTCTTCTGCAGTTGCAGAAACTGGATGGCTTTCATAGGTGGACAGCGGGGGTACCCTTAAGTTATTAACCTCATCATCAGGTTGTGCTGAATAAGTCCTGTATATTAGAGTTTGCAAGACTAATTATCTTTCACCCTCATTACTAGTGTTACAGCCCTGACACTTCCTAGAAAAGTCAGTGGGAACAGTTGATAATTGGAGAACTGTAGGCACAGACTGGATCTCTTTTCTCTGAATACACGCATCTCTGCTTCAGTACATAGGGCATTCTTCCTCTCCAACAGCTGTATTCTTTTCTTGACTAATCTGGATTACAATCATTAAAAAGAGGCGGTTAGACTAAGCCTTACCTCCATGCCTGGCTGTACTTTGCTTTTTTTCTGCAGATGCTGAAAAAGGCTGCCATTTCCTTCATGTCCTGAGCTGTGTTCGGCAGAGCTACAACCCCTCTCTGGCTGAAGTGGTGATGCACCGTGTCTTGGAACTGCTGGAGAGTAACAGTGATGTTGTCAGCACTATGGAAGGATATTATATGGCATTTTAAAGAGAGAAGATCGTTCTGGTCCATTCAGAATAAAGGAGGGAAGGAGAGGTTGAGTGACCCTGAAAAGCTGCTATTTCCTGGTATGATCTAGATGGGGAAAAAAAGAGCATTCTGATTCTCCAAATGCTGTTTTTGTCCAGCTCCAGAGAAATTGCCCAAATACTTGTTTTAATATTCTTGCTGACTTCCTTGCTATTCCTCTTGAAAGTTGTATCAAACTGACTCTGGACATCCTAATACAGCAGGGGAGCTGGAAAAGAAGCTGGGCTCTTTCCTTACAGTAAGATGTGACATGGTCATCCTCACATTTACATCCAGTGAGCCCTAAAGGAAAGTCACTGCTAAAGACCGCTGTTTACAGCAGTGGTCACATCAGGACTTGTTTTTCTGGCTTAAAGACTGATCTTGTGATCTTTCCATACGGTAATATCTGTGGATCTTTCTTTATATATATACTTTATAAGAGCTAGAGAAAGGACATGCAAACAATCAAAAGATTTGGCTGTCCTTCCTCGCAGTGTTGGTGTACATGTCTGTAAATACGTGCACAGCTTTCTCACTACTAAATCAGTCCTCACCTCTCTCTGAAAAGTAATATTCAGGAATGGGGTGCTGCATCCTTTCCCCATCCTGCAACCTTGCCCACTGCTTGTCAAGCATGTCTGGTTTCCCCTGGCTATTGTGTGCGCTACTAATGCGTTCTGATGTGGATTCTGTTCAGACCAGGATTCTCAAAATCAGCCGCTATTTTGCTGTTTATTTTTAGATTGCTTCCTACGTCACAAATGGTAAACCATAAATCAGATGTTTTGTAAAAGAAGATATGAAAGTCAGCAAGACCCATTGTAATCTCCATGCTCCCTGTTGCTTTTTGTGTCTTCTATTCCTTGTCGACTTTGGGGAAAGATACTATCCATATCTCTTCTTGCAAAGGAACACAAGACATTGATGAAATAACATTGGCCTAAAGAAGGTTACTGTGCAAGACGTTTGATCTGGAATAATCAGAACTCTGTTATGTGCCACAGTTCAAAGCCCGGAGCTGTTCAGTATTTATCCTTAGAGAGGGCTTGGTGCTGCAGGGGCTTGTCTGTTTAATTAATCTGTTTAATTAATGGTGTGGAGGTGAGACATTTAGCTTGAAAAAAGTAGAAAGGATTGAGTGTATCCTTCCTCTTTCCTCTCCACCTTCTTTGTAACAGTTGAAATAGCAGACTCCCAGGAGGCAGATGTAGTGGTAAAGCCCTATAAGGATTGACTTAGCAGGGAAAAATAAACCATATGCATGAGGAAAGCCAGTGAGTAGCCCCATGTGTGCCAGGTCTCTGGTTTGTTGTTATATTATATGCCTCATTCCAAGCCCTGGCTGCAGTGAGATATAGGCTAAGAGTAAAGCATGACAAAATATTTGGCATTTACATTCAGAGGCCTGTGGAAAACTCTGGCCTTAAAGAGATGGTATGTTTGTCCATAGTGGAAAACTATGTATGAATCATTCTTTTGCTGTAAATTCCCTACTTTCTGTAGGGCTCAATAGTTGGTTTCCCTGCAGGCTGCCCTACTTCTAGCGTTGCTGCTCTGTTTTGAGTTGGGTACCTTCTAGATCTTAATATGGGCCTGAACGTGTGCTGAAAGGATGTACCTGTGCAGAAGGAAATAAAAAGAGAAGAGGATTACGAAAGAATTGTAAAAGTCTTCCCCCGTGGCCCCCCGCGTCAGCATCTCTAGAAAGCAGGGAAAGAAGTCCAGATTCTGAGTGAAGGGTACTGGGGGGAATTGCAACTTTAATTTATGCCTACAAAATGGTCTGGCTGGCCACAGGGGAGATTTGCTTCTCAGATTTCTGCTCTGATTACTGATAAGTTTGAAGTGACGCTTAAAAACAAAGGCTGTCTGTTTGGAATATTGATTCCTAAATTCAGACTCATATCAGAAGTTAACCATATATTACTGCTTGATTATGGACAAGTCACCTACTTGGCATGAATTTGAGGATATTTTAAAGCAAAGTATGTGGTATCTTGGACCATATGGAAAAGCATGGCATCTAATTTAAGAGACTGAGTTGGCCTTTTTCTTGAAAAGTCCTATATTAGCAGAATCTGATTTTGCTGGAAAAGGGTTAAAAGAACACTCCTAGCTGACTGGGAAAGGTGATCTCCTCTCAGGTTAAAAGAGAGAAAGGCTCTGGTTCTCCTGAGGGTGTCAGCCAAGTGTGTGGGCTGGATGAGTTTTGGAAAGAGCTCTGCACAGCTGAATCTTGGAGGAAAAGATAGTCTGGAGATCGTATTGCTCTTTAGGGTCTCTTTAAAATAAATTCATACCAAAATAGGATTACAGCTTTGTCCTTTGCAGCTTGGATAGTCATACACGCAGCATCTGATGTGTTCTGTTGCCTCCAACTTTGATCCTGTGTTTTAGATGTGTTCTGTGTGTAAAGTCTGCCTAAAAACCCTGGCCAACTACTTTCTATGCATTGGAGGTTGATGCAGACACAAAGTATCTTCCCTCTATGTTCTGCCCCTGTTGAAATTTAAAAGCACAGATGAACTGCAAACAGAGATGAGGTAGGAAGAATTCATTTTGGGAAAGATGGATGACTGACTGGAAAAAACATGTCCTTGGAAGTTGTTAAGCTGGTCCTTGCTAGCAATGCAGGAGTCCTGTCATTGAGGGTGCATTCTGTTGGAGATTGCTCCGCAAGAACAGGAAAAAGGGATTTTTTTCACTTGAGTTAACTCAGGGTAATATGAATGAACATAAAGGACCTTACAGATTTTACAAGAGTGAAAGGTTAAAGTAAAATTAATAGAGGAGCCTAGATTTAAGCTACACAGATTCTTATTCTGAAGAACTGTACGGAATAGTTGTGCCTTAAGCTTGCATGCTTTATTTTTTCCATGGTAGCCACCCAACACAGACTAACAGTCTGGTTGAGTGCATTCCCTCTCTTGTACCTACAGGGAATACTGCATGCATATGCCTGCACAGAAGTACCCCAGCTAGCTGTGGGAGCACAGAGCTCACTGTAGGTTGATTTACCCATTTCCTCAGTATCTCTACAGTATGCTTCTGTGACAGCAGTCTAGACATACCCATATTGGTATAAGTCACCTTTATGTAAGTCTAACTACACACACTAGGGCTTTTACTGCTAATAAACTGTCTCTCTGTTTAAAGATCATATCCTTAACCAGGAGAGTCGTATCATGCACACTGTTAAAATTCTTAGACTTAGACCACACCTACAAAATATTGTGTGGAACACTCAGTGAAAGCGCACTTTCTTGTTTTGTTTAATTTGAAAACTCATTAGGTAACACAATTATTACTGGTTTATTAAAGGACTTTGAAGGTGGCACTTTAATGTAAAACTGACATGTGAGAATTCATGTTGTAGGACTGCTTCATGGCCACCAGTTCCAGTTTCCATAGAAACAGTTATGGCAGTAAAAGGTGGGTAAGTAAAATGGAGTTTTTAAAAGCAGTCAGCATTTTTGTGTTACCTTAAAAAGGTACGTTTCCATAGAAATGCAGTGCCTGAGAACAAAAATTACCAAAGAATCTTAATATTCTATTCTAGCAAAATGTAAGGTGATTTCTTTTCTGGTGAGAAAATGAGGGAACAACTCTACCTTAAGTCCCCGCCATCTGCTTGGGTGAGAGAAGAGATGAGGTTGCTTCATGCCTCAGTTTCCCTCTTTTGTAAACTGGGGATAATACAGCTTCCTGTGTAGGGCATAAGTGTTAGTCATTAAGAGCTCTAGAGATCTATTGGTGAGAGCTGTTAGAGAAGAACTCTGTGGGATTGGATGAATGGATAGATGCTGGAGTGGGACTTAGTTCTAGTCCAAGTCCGACTTTTGCTAATAGCTTCATCTTTCTCTGCCTGTCTTTCCATGCATATTGCTTTGCCTGCCTTCTATTTTTGCTGTCCAGGTCCTATGAGGCAATGATGGTCTCTCTGTTTTTATTTGTACCAAATATTTTTCTTGGAATCCTGTTTCCTCTTATGACTTCTTAAAAACAGAAATCCATAAACGAGTTCTGAATGTTCTTGTTCTCAAATCTTTGGATTGTAAATTTGTACCCATGAGGGTACGTATTTTACACAAGCTACCTGGGAAATGAAGCTTTTTTTTCAAAGTAATAAATGAAAAATTTAAAGATTGGCTACATGACTGAAAGCTGTTACTTTTGTGGATCTGCCCATACTTGCGTATTCCAGTGATGAACAACATAAATAGGAGGAGTTGCTAATTCATTATTCAGAATGAGAATTCCTCAGTGAGAAGCCAGTGAGGCATGGAGCCACATGGAGAATTATGAGACAAAGTACTGAAAATCTGCTTGTCAAAGAAATGCAGTTTGGTTTACTTTGGGAGTAAGCCGATCCTGTGAGGAAAAGACGTGCCTAGCAAAGATTTGTATCTTTATACTTACCTCTAAATGGGAAGGGAGCAAGTTCAGATCCCATGGGCAACCTGAATTTTGAAACTTCCTGTCAGTGTGGAGCTGCGTTCTTTATTGCCGTCTTTCAGCAGAGTCTCCAGCCCTCCTGCCCCAACCTGACATGCTAGTAAGCAAACAAAAGTTCAGCCACAGAGATAAAAGAATAGTTATAATATTCGGTTCCCATCGTCCAGGAGCCCCAGCATTACAGAAACATTTCTGTGGATGTTTGTTGGCAGCAGGGAAATGCTGAGTCGGGGATCTTGGGTTTCATTCCCAGCAATATGCCCTGTTAGGCACAGAGGCTTTCCCCCTAATTTCTTTCACCTATTTGTGCTCTCCACTCTCTCCTCTAACTGTCATTTCTCAAGCCCTTCATGTCATTCACAGTCTCACGGTTCATCTCTGCATCATGGATCCCAGTAAACCCTCCTTCCTCTCTACTTTGTTCCCTTTTATTTTCCTAATTCAAATATCCTTGTCAGCATCTGGCAATTGAAAGTTTCAGTATAATCCCCTTCCCTAACTGGCCTGGCACTGCTCACAGC